GAGTGTTACGTGTTTCAAAGTGAAATAGGGGAGATTTAGGTGAGATATCAGGATGAAACTCTGTGCCGTGAGGGTGGTGAGACACTCCAACAGGTTGCCCAGAGAAGCTGTGGAAGATTCCCCCTCCCTGGAAGTGCCCAAGGCCGGGTTGGACGGGGCTTGGAGCAACCTGGTGGGCTGGGAGGGGTCCCTGCACCACGGCCACGCAGCAGCAGGTGATGCGATTCGGTGGAAGCAGGGATTTGGGGGATATAAAGCAGATTTCACGTTACTCTTTGCAGCTGAAAGCAGAAGAAGTTGCTTATTCTCAGTTTTTTCATCTGCCCTCATAGTTAACGCATCATTATTAGCACAAGGGGCAGCGTGTGCCGGCGCGGTGTCGGAAGTTTCACTTGGAAATTTCATCTTCGATGGTTTCGGGCTGGTTCCCAATGCACGGCGTGGCTCTTTCTTCTTGAATTTTGTCTCACAGCCCCGCCAGTTCACCGGGTTTTCTCGGTATTTCACTTGTCTTCACCCTTCCGTTCCAGCAATCGAGCAACTGGGCGCGAATCTCGGTGTATTTTTTTCTTTGTTTGAAGACTGTTTGGCCGCCGCGATGGTGGCAACAGGCTTCCTCAGCAATGCAGTAGGCCCAAACCTTCCTCTTTTTGCCTTTAATAACAGAATAGTTTGAAAAGCGATGAGAACTAAAGGGAGTTGGGGCGTCGCAGGGTTTGTCTTTGCGTGGGAGAATGGATTTTGGGGGTTTTGGACCCGTGCAAACTGGGAAGCAGAAACTGAGCGGTGACGGATTTTGAACAGCGGTGACATATTTTCGTGAGTATTTCCGACCCGCACAGCAACGGAAGAAGGGGAAACAGTGACGAGTGTGTCCCTTCTTCAAGCCGAAATCCTGGTGATGCCCTGCCCAGCCCCGGTGGGGAGGGAGAAGAGAAACCCGAAGACTCGTTTCTGTTCACTGCTGTGGTTCTCCTTCGGCTTTTAAGGCTCTTCGTGCGGCACCGGCTGCAGCGTTTCAGGCGGGGGTCTCAGCCCTCGGCTTTGCAAGGGGAAAAATGATGTTTTCCATGGGGAGCCCGAGCCTGGTTGGGCTGAAGCAGAAGCTTCGCCCCGGCGGGTTCTGGAGGGTCCCTGGAGGGTGTTGGTGGCCGTGTCCTATGGCCAAGTGCCATCTAGTGAGTCCCGCAGGTATCACGGCTGGAGACTGAAACTTGCTGCCAGGAAAAGCAAAAGGTTTTATCTCCAGTTTGGAAATCCTTTTTTTTTTTTTAAATTTTTATTTTTTTTTTAGAA